GGCAGAGATGTGCTCCAGTTCCAGCTGCCTCATGCTGAAAGTAACCCACCAGTGGGGAAACCAGCTCTGTTCTTGGAGCTCCCACCCTGCCCTGACAGCTGGGAACACCACCCACGTGCTGGTCCTCGGAAGGAAAAGTTGCTTGAGCTGACAAGTTTCTTCCAAGACAGTGTCTCTGCTCTCAGGGGCAGCCAAGCCTGAGGGAGCCTGTCCAGCTACTTCATAACTCATCGAGGATGTATGCTTTAATTAACTCACCCAAAATTTCTCCTTTCTCTCTCCCATTTCTGTTATTAATATTTTTTTTTCTATCTGATAACACAGCATAGCTAATTCTTTCTGGCTTTATAATGAACAACGTCGTGATGAAAGAAAGGTTGGCGGTGCTTTGGGCAGCTTTTCATTATCTGGCTGAACAGGTACCAGCACTTTGGTCCCTGCTTTCCCCCCCTGCACACCCCACCTTCCCTTGGCAGGTACCTGAAGGCTCCTCCTGCCCCTCTCTGCTGCCCAGGGGTGGAGGCAGGGGCAGGGTGCTGTTCCCCACAGCACAGACAAGAAGTCAGGATGCAAAGGAATCTTTCCCCCTGCCCAGAGAGGTGACAGCACAGCCAAGGAGCTCTGCTGGCACTGCCAAGGCCAGCACACGGGGTCTGGCACAGCCAATAAATCCAATATTTCCAAGGCTGCACACACACAGCAGCACCTCTGTAAATCAGAACCAGCTCGGAGCAAAACTCCCTTCGGGTATAAATAAATTGCTATTTTTACAAAATGAACCGGGTGCCCGGAATACTGATCCATCAGCAGGTCAGCTCAGAGCAAGTCACATGTGAGGCACAGGACAAATCCACAGCCCACACCAGCCCCTGCACAGAGGATCAGCTCTGAGGTGGCTCCACGAGCACATAAACCAGGCTGTTTCATCGGGAGCACGACTCTGCCAAAGGACCCTGCACTGAACCTGTCCCCACTGCACAGAGGGGACACTGAGGCACGGGGAGCTGGGGGGCCCAGCCCTCCCAAACCCATGGCCATGGCAGGGCCAGCCCCCTCCCCAGCCCCCTGCAGCCCCCAGCCCAGCAATAGATTTGTTTTCCTGCTGTAAGTCCTGAATGGAAATGTCATGAGGACAATCACCATGGTGACATTTCAGCAGCACCATATAGAGCCACGCAGGAAATGAATTTCAAAAATCCCTATTAAAAATGGAAGGGCAAAAACAATTTTCTGGGGGAAATTTGTTCTGAGAGGGTTTATAGACTTTTTTTTTTTTCTCTAAAGAAAAAGGTCTCCAGCAAAGAAAGTTTGAGGCATGCTGGTTTTTAAGGCTTCGTTTCTTTATGAAAGAACAGACCTTTTCCAAGAGGGATTTTCATGTATGTTTTTTTGGTGCAGAAACTTAAGTTTGTTGCACCATTTACCAATTTTTCTTTTCCCCAGCCCGGCTGCTGCTCCGGAGGATGATCCCAGCCGAGGGTTTGTTCTCCAAGCCAGCACAGAGCTTGGCAAGGCCAGGAGAGAGGAGGGTGATTATTTCAGTCCCTTGTTCCTCCGACTGGCTGGTGCAGCACAAAAGAATGCTAATGCTCGTGTCTTTATGAAAGCACTCGAGTTCATCAGCTTTGCAAAGAAGAGAAATTAAATCAAGATTTAATTGGGATATGCATGTTTTATTCATGGTACTATCCACAGGAGAAGCCAGACAGCTGAAGGTAAAGAGGAGGTGGGGGGGGAAATCTTTTGAAAAATTGTTTCTCTCTGATTAAATAGAGATAGTTTCCACTTCAAAGGGAGGGCTCCTTTAATGTATTTTAAATGCTCCAACGTGCCATTCTGATGCAGCAGCCTGGCAAGGACAGCACGGACCCCTCATCCCCCTCCTCTCCACAGCCTCTGGAAGGGACACACTGCCCCTGGAGTGCCTCTGGCAGCAGATTTCATGGCTTCCAGGGTGACCTGATGATTTCAGCAACTGGTTGGTCTTGTTCTCCTGCTTGTCCCCCAGATCCATCACAGGTACAATGGTCCTGGTTGCTCAGGGGAACCCACATCAGACTGGGCTGCAGGGCACAGGGTGTTGGGAAGCGTGGGGACTGGCAGCTTCTGGAGGGCACCAAAGGAAGAAAAATCCAGCTTGAGTTTTCACAGCCACCTTTGCACGTTTGGTGCCCAGGAAATGAAATGTTTCTGCCTCTTCTGTGGCCACACCAAGAAGGGAGGATGAATTTCTGAGAAAGCTTTCCTGTACTTTTACTTTATGTAGTTTCAGGCCTCTTCATTTTCAGGGCAATGACAGGTTCCAGCTCAGAAGCAGCTCATGCAAAAGGCCATGTAGCACCTGTAGGAGTGTTTCCAGCCAGCTTTAGAGCCCAGCATGTTTAGCCAGCAGCCTGAAAAGCAGTTTGTGATGCTGATCCTCCTTGGGGAAAGCTGCAGACACTGTGAGAACAGCTCTATGTTTCTTGTTACACTCCTTATAGTCAGAAGAGAGGAGAGGCAAAGCCAGCAGCTGGACAGCAAGTGGATGAGGGATGAGACTGTGCAGGTTTCCAGTCTCTGCTGGAAGCCTTTCCCTCTCCTGCCTTTCCCAGTGCCTTGGTACCACTCCCTTGAGGCCTGGGAGAACTGTGTCTCCCCCCAGGGATGCTGCAGGCATCCAGCAGACCAGGCAGGAACAGGTCAATGGGCAGGGATGCCACTGGAGCAAGGAGTGGGAAGCTGAGAGATGCAGTGGAGGCAAGAGGCCAAGGGAGGGTGAGCAACATGAGCCACAAAAGCAAGGATTTAAGGACACAGGGAACTTCTGGTTCGCTTTTCAGATTGAAATGTGTATGCAGGCCCTGAAAGACAGTGGTTGTAAGGGAGGAGGGGATCTGGCAGCAGAACTCCTATCGCTCCTGGTGGGAATTTTTCTATAAAGGACCGATTGTTTGGTGACGGCGCATGACAAAAATACAATAGGAAAAGTGCAGGAGAAAAAAAAAAAAAAGAGGAAGAAAAGAAAATCTTCTCTGTAACTTGTGCCCTTCAGAAGCAGCCCCTGTAGCGCTCGGTGCCTGGCGGAGGCGCCGCTGCCTTGGGAGCCTCAGGTCTTTGTTAAGAAAAGGACACAAAGAGAAACACGAGTTCTCCCGAAGGCTCATTATTCAAACTGCTCCAGACCCGGCCTCGCAAGTGCCGGTGACTTTGGAAGATGAACAATCTTATCTCCCGGGTGAAAAGGACCATTTGTTGTTTGCTGTCCGGGAGAGAAAGCTCACAAAAGGCACGAGAAGAAACTCGGAGAATATCTGAGCCCAACTTGCCAGGAGATGTGCAAAGGAGGGAGCGATGCCAGTGGCCAGCACAGGGATTCCTTGGAGAGGCACAACCCACCTCCCTGCCAGGGCAGGATGGGAGCGGGAAGCACACGGACCACAGGGTCCTCCTCCATGGGAGAAGGTGGCCAGAGGAGGGAAGGAAAGCTGAGGGAAGCTCAGGCTGAGCGTCCTCCCACCCTCCCTGGAGCCAGAGCCCAGCGCCGGTGGCGCGTGCTGGCAGCAGCCCTGCCCGGCTGTCCTGGGGATCTGCAGGCAACTGTTTGCCTTTGGCACTTATTTATTTTGGACACTGCAGTGCCAACTCCCTGCTCAGCAGGGTGTGGAGAGGCTGGGCTCTGTGGAAGCTGGAGCACTGCACCCAGGGCTGGGGAGAGAAGGCTCCTGGGCAGAGGCGAGACCGTCACAGGCACCAATCTCATCCCGAGAGGCTCCACACCCCCCTCCCCACTCCTGAACAATCTCCTAATGATAAAAGTCCCCATGGTTTATAATTACCAGTTTGACAAGTTCATGAGTTGTCTGTTAATTATTATAATTAGCTCTGGCTGGGTGAGAATGCAGCAGTTCAACAACAATATTAACAATGGGAGAACTATTATCGAGAATTAACTACAGTGAGCAACAAGGAAGGATTCCTCCTGCTCCTCTGGGCTCAGCTGAGCTCCAAACTGCCCTAGAGAGTTCAAACCAGTGGTTGTGTCTAAAAGAACAGGAAGGGGAACCCAAACTCATCCTGGGCTGCCCAAAATATGGTCAAGATTTGGGCCAGCAGAGGAAATCATGTGGTAAGGCAGCTGTGAACCACCAAAAGATACCCAGTGGCTGCAGAAGGACAGACAGGAGCAACATCCTGATGGAGCAACATGAGAATCAGGCCCCAAGAATCTCTCCAACCCCACTCTATTTCACACAATGAAGCTGTAAAAGCCTGTGATTAAACTCCTGCACAAGCCTTTCCTCCCGGGAACGTGCAGCACGAGGCGCAGGCCTGAGCAAATATTAGAAAAGTCTCACTTTTGGGCACCCCTAATTTGCTGAGGATGAATGGATTGACTTCTCAAACACTGCATGATCCCAAACAGGCCAACACAGCTCGGCTTTCCTCCTCATTTCCAGTTCAAATGTATACAAAATGTTTATCTGGAATGCAAGAGAGCTCTGAGAGCCAAGCTGTGCAAATAATTAGACATCTGACGCACCTTCACACTCAAAATGGGAGGCTGGAGCTGGGTTTGGTTCGCTATTTATTTTTTTAATTTATTTAATGCCACCTTTGCAGAGCAGAAGCAATGACTGAGAAAGCTGGGGGTCGGTGCCACCAGGAGAAAAAGGCTTTTGGTGGGTGGGAAAGGGACCTTTCCATGGGGGATAGCAGAGACAGTCCAGCCTGGGAAGCACCAACAGCCCTCGAGCTGTTATGAGGCTCAGCCACCCCAGAAACCCCCCAGGGCCCTGCCACAGCTTCTGTCACACCAGGAAAGGACCATGGTCTGGACCTGGTGACATTCAGGGACCATAAAACAGGCCCAGAGCTCCCGTGGGACCAGTTACCTCCTCAAAGCCAGGGAAGCACCGTGTTTCTTTCTTCTACTGGGAAACTTAATTTGCTTTTCAGACAAGAGCTTTTGCACACTGAGGCTGCTTGGGAGAAACATTCCATTTCAAATCCACACCATCTCAAATACAGACACAGTTATTTATTTTTTTTAACTGTAAACAGGTTTTGAAGAAAAGATCAAAATCTGAGGGAAACATTTTGAAGCTGTTGGGATGAAGCACTTCGCTGTACATGATCGGAATTTCCTGGGAGTCATTTCTATTTGAGGGATTTACATTTGCTTTTACATCCCAGGAGTATGGGGAGGGGAGGGGGGAAGGTTGAAGCCACAAAGAGTTTGATGGGGCAGCACAAGCATTTCCCACCTACATGGGGGAAGGGAACTGGGATGGGAAGGGTTGGGGCTGTGTCAGGTCTCACAGCCTTCCCTGGTCAACCACTGGGCATTCCACACCTTCTCCCTGCTTTCCTGCCAGCATCTGCGATGTATTCCTGGCATTCCCCAGGGAATATGTTCCTGCAGCATCTCGACCCCACTGACAGAGCAGAGGAAAGGGCCAGGATGAGCCAGAATACATTTAACAGTGGAAACGTGGAGGTGCCAAGGGCAGACAGAGCACAGCAGGCTGTGTTCCCACATGGCGAGGACCCGTTCCCTTCCCAGGGAATTATTAAAGGTTTTGCACCAGGGAACAAATAATTTTAAGCAAAGGAATCCCTTTCACTTTGTCCTTGCAGACAGATGAGTGGAGCAGGAGCATCAGTGCTGGGTTCCTCCCCTCCCTCAGCCTTCTGGGAAGCTCCTTTGAACACTTACAACATCAGAGCACAGGGCCTGATTTGTTAGACAAGCCAGACTTTATTATTTTTTTAAAAGGGGGATATTATCTCCTGCCTCCGAAGGAAAGGGGAAGAGGAGAAAGCCACTGATACGGAGGGGGGTAGAGACAGACACAGAACCTCATTATTAAACAAAATAAATAAAATATACTAGCAGAAAATGTGTCTTGGCTTTATTACTATATTCTGTCCTCTAAATATTTCATTTCCAACTGATGCCCAAGCCAAATGGAAAATTTCAAGCAAAACTGTACTACTTAGAATATGCTTAATTATTGATTCAGCCAGGAGGGGAAAAGAAGAAAAAACCAGAGGGGAAGAAAAGGCACTGAGCTGCTGCTGACTTCTTTTTAACCCCTGCAGCTTCCCAGCCCCTCTCCCAAGGGAAGGGAGCTACCTGTGCCCGAGCTCTTCCTCCCAGGGGAGGGAGAGGAGGGAGGATGTGAAGGGGCAATGCCAGACCTGAGCCAGGTGTGCCCAGAGCTGGGCATGGCTCGGGCTCACACCGATGCCTGGAGCTGGCAGGACACTCACCCACCCCAGCTCCTCTGCCCTGCCCAGCCAGGACCACCTCAGCCAGCTTCAGCTTTTGGCAGGTGTCAGTGAAAGAAGAAAACATTTTGGTCATTGCTCTTCCCTGGCTTTTCCCTCCCTATATTTACCTCAAAGTGCTTTTTAATCAGAGTAGGTTATTTTTGGTGAAAATCTTCTGGTCATGAATGAAAGCTAAAAATGTGGCCTTGGAGACGCAGCCAAAAGTTGTTTGCAGCTCACAACAAAACCTAATTCACAAAAAACCAACAGTTCAGAGTCTCGTTCCTTCCGTGCCTGTTGGTGCCACTGACTGTATCTGTCCTCCATCTCCTACTCTGGGAAACCATCCACCTTCCCATATCCAAAACCTTCTAATAAGCTGATTTCTCTGTGACACACAGGTGTTTTAGAGGCACAGGAGCTGGTTTAACCCTGACATTAACCTGAGCTGGAGTTTTCCTGCCACCTTCTCCCTCAAGCCTGTCCCCCTACTCTTGGGGGTCCTTGTAACCCCCCTTTTCCCTGCTCTCTCTGGAGGCTGAGTGCTGCAGAATGGCTCCCAGCACCCCAAAGAGACCACAGAAAGGGGAACCATCACTGGGGGGTCCCACCTGGGGGCTTGGGGAGCATCATGATATCCAGGGGATGGCAAACCCCCTGCCCTGCAGCTGAGGGGGGGCACAGCCTGCTACGAAGTGAGTCACACCCTCAATTAGGAATTTCACTGAAATTTCAAATTACAACCCTTTATTTTTTTTTTTTGTTAAGTGACAGAATTATGCCACGTTACAGAGAAAGTGACAGGTAATTTGGGACACTGAGGATTTCTCAGGCTCTATAGTTAATGGGGAGTTTAGCACCAATTCCTCTGTAATTTGCACTTCTGAGAAACCGCATTATTATAAAGTCAGAAATCTCAGGCACTTTCAACTCCGGGATCTGCCAGACTGACGATGACCAGGAACTGAGGAGGCCCCAGTCCACAGGTGACCCATTTCAATATCTGAGGCTGGGTGGCTTCCAAAAACGGCCGCTCCAACGGCGGAGCCGAAAATTGGAGGTGACATTCAGAAGTCTCTGAAAATTATAACCCTGACTTCCTCCTTGAAAAGCTTATCTGAATCCTGGCTTATCCTTTGATGAGGTTACTGAAAAAGCATTCTGCTCAGAGTACTTGAAAGATAACAGGCAATATATGTGAGCCGGTGCACTCCTCCCGGGGGGAAAACGCTATCGAACTCCCGGAGCATGGGACACTAATTAAATGGCCTGGATCACACTGGACATTCAGGGCCTGGGTGGCTCCGTTTAACTCCTTCCCAGCCCTGCACACCTGGGGCAGATGGACACGCTCCTCGTGCCAGGCTCTGTGAGGACATCCTCCCGTGCTCTGCCGTGCTCCCACATATCCTGCTCCTCCGCCCCGGCCGCTCCTCCGGGATGCTCCCCCTCCACCTCTTTTCTGCTGAGCCTGTAGCCCAAAAAGCAGGGAAAAAGAACAAAAGCTTTTTAATGGCATAATTTGTTTTAAAATGAGCTGTCTCTTCCTGCTGCCCCAGCCCCCAAACACCAGTAATTGTTGGTTGGTTCCCTGCCATCTCCCCGCCAGCGCCTTCAGCGTCTCAGGCGCTGCTGCTCGAGATTAGCGGGAAGTGTTTGGAGTCCCTCACATCAAAGGGATGGAAAACTGGAAATTTAACAGAATGTATTATGCAGGTGAGGGGGAAAAAGGGAAGTTCTGTTAAAAAGGATGGCTCGTTTCTCCTTGGTCTGGGACAGGGTTTATGGCAGCTGGGGAAAAAGCCCAAATTTAAACAGGTGGAGGCCCAAAAAGCTGAGAAATGGGAAGAGGAGGGAGAAGTGCCCAGGCTCCTCGCAGGCAGGGAGCAGAGCTAACCCCGGGATGGGGTGGGAAGCCTTGGGTGGCTGGTGGTGCCCCTCTGAGAGCAGCTCCACATCCCACGTCAGGTCCTGCTGTGTCGATAAAGACAGGGGGAGAAGCAGAGATGAGAAAGGTGGAGGGGAAGATGAAGGGGTGGCATTGAAGGTTAGGGGGATGTTTTTCCAATTGCCTGTAACACACTCCTGTGGTTCATACACACCTGCCCACTTGCCCTGGCCTCGCTCCACCGCGGGGCTGCTGCCCCGGGGGCTGTGCCGGGGCCATTCCCGTCTCTGTGCTCCCTGCCAGGGCAGCAGAGCCCAGCAGTGCCGGGGGGAAGCATCCAAAGGGCCCTTCCTTGAAAACGCTGAGCACTATTTCCACAGCCCTTAAACAGAATAATTCATTAGTCAGCTCAGAACAATCAATACCGCCGCCGACAATTTATACACCGGCTCTGTTTACCCAGCAGACCCTCTTTGATAATATTATTTATGATTCCAAATAACTCCATCGGTGTTCAATAGAGCTGGGAGGTACCTGGGGGACCGGGGCACAATCAAATTATGAAGACATATGGTTTACTCAGCGCTGGAAATGTTCAACTGCATTTCATTGCTGCTAGTCCTGCTGCAGCACCTTCCCCAGCAGTTATACGGCCTCCTCGGCTGCTGAATGGGAAGAGCCTCTTGCTCCAGCGATGGAGAGAGTGAGTGAGTGGCTGTAAAGGGAATTTTATTGTGCCTGTTCCTGCCTGCACGGAGCTGACGGACACGCCAAGCAGCTCAATGCATCCCAGGTCGCCGCGGCAATTAAAGCCCGGCATTCCGGGGACTGCCGGAGCGGGCAGGGAAAGGCAGAGGCAGAGGCAGGGGCAGCTCCCGCCCGGAGAGGCTGCCCGGGTGATGTGTGTGCGGCACGGCGCTCTCGGCAGCTCCTGCCTGGATTTATGGTCGATGCACGGGCTGTGTACTTTTTAATAAAGCGCCTCTGATGTACCCGCGGAGCGGCCAAACGCTGAGTCATTATTATCGACGGAACATCGCCCGAGCTCCGCGCGGAGCCTCCTCGGGGCTTTGAGGGGGTGGAAAGCCAACACCGATGCTGAATTGCTCTATAAACTCCAGTCCTCCCTGCAGAGGAGCAATAATTAATCAGGCGATGCATGATATGTAACAAATTAAAAAGATAAAACTTCCCAACAAAAATGATGGGACCGGAGAGGCGCGGGCTGTGCTTCGAGCGAGCCGTCCCTGCCTTCCCCTTTCCCTCCATCCATCCGAACAAAACTTCCAGGGCCGGATCCTGCCAGCCAGCTCTGCAGCCCCCAGCTCATGTTCCAGCATGGAGCACCCCACTCACCTGGCTGCCTTTGGCAGAGGAAAGTCAACTCTTTCTGCTTGTGATCGTGTCCCGGAATCTCCTCCCAGCGACAATCCTGCTCACTCCTGGCTTGTGAATAGAGGAGGCTATAAAATAAAGTGATAACAGTTATCACTGTGGAAACATAATTTCTGAGAAAATCCCACCAGACTAATAATTAAAACAGAAACTGAAGACTCTGACAAGCCTGGATTTTTTTCTTGGGTTTCAGCTACTTCTGCTATGTGATTCCCTGTAGAAAAATCAGCATCTTCCTTCCACAGCAAATCCAGACACTTCAGGACCTGTTTCTGTTCCCCTTGCAGTGGAATGGAGAAGTGAACAGTGACATTTCCTATGGAACAGAAAGAAAAGACATTTTCAGCTCAGAAACATCAGGGGTTTCACTTCCATCTCCCCATGCAGGCTGTGGCGTGGATGAAACCCTGGTTTCTGGTGGGAACATGTGTGGCTGGGGAAGCTCCTGTTCTTGGGCAGGACAAATGGGATGCTGCAGACCTCTCCCTGCAGCTCCTGAGACAGAAACATCTGGGATCAGCAGCATCACAGTGCATAGAATGGTCTGAGTTGGAAGGAACCTTAAAGATCATCTCCTTCCACCCCCTGCCATGGGCAGGGACACCTTCCACTAGACCAGGTTGCTTCAAGCTCCATCCATCCTGGCTTTGGGCACTTCCAGGGATGGGGCAGCCACAGCTTCTCTGGGCAACCTGTGCCAGGGCCTCACCACCCTCACAGGGAAAAATTTCTTCCTCCTATCTAATCCAACCCTGCCCTCTGGCAGTGGGAAGCCATTCCCCTTTGTCCTGTCACTCCATGCTCTTGCCCAAAGTCCCTCTCCAGCTCCCTTGGAGTCCCTTTATGCACTGGAAGGGGCTCTAATGTCTCCCTGGAGTCTTCTCTTCTGCAGGTGAACACCCCCAGCTCTCCCAGCCTGGCTCCAGAGCAGAGGGGCTCCAGCCCTTGGAGCATTTTTGTGCTTCTTCCAGATGTAGCAGGTCCACGTCTGTCTTCCACTGGGGACTCCAGAGCTGGATGCAGTGCTCCAGGTGGGGTCTCACCCGAGCAGAGTAGAGAGGAAGAAGATGGGTAGATGTTCCCAGAGTCAACCTTTGTGCCTTAATTGCAGTAAGACATACATATCTCCCCTCCACAGTCAGCAGGCTGCCCTTCAGTGCTGTGCCAGACTCAAGTCTAAGGAGGCTTTTAGGCTGTGCACATCACGCTGCTTCTGTAGCCTTAAAGGAGGTGTTTGGATTTCTATATTTAGTTGTCCTCACTTCCTTTCCTCCTTGACATTTATGAATTTTAGATGTCTTTCACGCTGGGCCCCTGAAGGGCGTCCTGGAGAGACGCGTGGTGGCCCCTGCACAGCATCTTCTGGTCCCACAGGGACGTGGCTCCAGTTCGTCTGCTGGCCCAGCCAGGGGATGCTCGGGAACCACGGGCACTGCTGTGATGCTTTCCAGCCTTTAATAGGCGTGTGGGGCTGCTGCTGACTCCACGGCTGCCGGAGGGAGGGAAGGGGAGGGAGAGATGTCTGGGAGAGCTGGAAAAAACCAAGATTACAAGGGATCAGGGAGATGCTGTTAAAGTACATGGCAACTTACAGATGAAACAGCAGTGGCTGCCTTGAGCTGAAGGCCAATTTGGCAGTGGGCTTGTGCAGGAGCCTGTCAGAGAATTAGCCTGGCTGAAGTGTGAGTGGGATGGGAGACCCGTCAGACCCCTCCAGCGCTCCTTGTGCCGGCTGGTTGGGATGAGGTCCCGCTCCCATCCTCCTCACCAAGGTCAGCTGGAGCAGCACGCTGGGTAATGTGCTCCTCACGCCTTCTGCCTCACACCCAGGCCTCCTCCAGCAGCACTGAGCCTGCCTGAGTGGTGGATAAACATTAGTTTCACAGCTCACAAAGCAGAACTGCCGGCTACTGCCAGCCCAGACGTAATGAGCTCCTCCCGGGACCCCTGGGAGCGCTTAGAGTGGGCTCTTCTTTACCCAAGCTGCCAGTCAAGCCGGTGCCAGGGGGGAAGCAGCGCCGTTAATCTCTTTCCCACCATCCCAGCCATAGCTGAAATCCCTTCGAGCATGTAACAGTTTTATTTTAATGTGCCGTCCCCCTGGCACGGGGCCGGGAGCGGCGGGGTCTGCCCGCACACCCGCTCCCAGCTGCTCCCCCGGCCAGGGGAGCTCCCGTCTGGGGGGGCTGCCGGGGGGGCCGAGCCGACAGGATGGAACAATCGGCGAGGGAAAAGCTTTCGCGTGCTGTACTTTTCACTCAGGCTGGTGCTGTCACCTCCTCGGGTACCCTTTAATTAAGAACAGATTGTTGTTCGGTGGAGAGAGACTCGTTTAGCACCCGCAAGAGGAGCAGGGAGGTTTGCTCAGCAGCCGGGCACTGGCGCCAGGGACGTGTCCCACGGCGTCACGCTTTCTGCCTGACACCAAATCACTTGTCAGGAGCTTTTCCCAACAGCCACGGCAAAGCAGCTAATGAAGGGGACGTCGTGTGGATGTTCAGGAGCACTCTGATGGACTGGCCATGGCTGCTGCTGCTGCCTCCCTGACACCCTGGGTAACAACACTCACACCTGTGTCTGCTCCCCTCTTCCAGCCCCAAAGAAACCCACAGGAAAACCAAGACGGGATGCTGTGTTCAAGCCAGGTGAGCTGGGACAGGTCCTGCTTGCACCTGGAGATGCAGCCACTTCCCTGGGCTCCTACTGGGAGACCCAGCTGGGGAAGAGCCATCACCAGGAATGTGTCCTGTGATGCCATGACAAGGATCCTGTGGAGGCTGGGAGAGAGCTGCCCCTTCCCCTGGGCAGACCCCCTGGGGGCACAGGGCACCTGCCAGCAGAGGCAGCTTCCCCGAGCCCCTCAGCTCCTCCCCACGTCTGCACAGAGACACCAAGGGCCAGAAGGGCACAGCACGACATCCCCTTCCGAGAAACACCGGCTCCCAGAGGAGAGATGAGGAGAACTGCAGGCAGGATTCATCAATCTCTGCTAGCCAGACCTCTTCCCAGAAAAGGCTGGACACATGAGGTGGAAAAAGGGGAAAAAGCCCCAGTCAGGGGCTTTCCAAAACACCAAGGGACTGATTGCCAAACTGTCGACACATCCCTGCTTCCCATCCTCCACCTCATGGAGCTGCAAAGGTGCAAGTGGCCTCTAATCCGCAGGGACGGGCAGGGAGCCAGCACAGACTTTTCCATCCCAAACCTCTGTGGAGACAGACACCTGTATCTCTCCTCTCTGCTGGGCTGTTTTTAGCAGCCGTAATTACACCCTTTCAATCTATGTATAAATAACTGGAATTCCGGGTAAAATGTCGGGCTGCTTGATTTACATCCCCAGCGAGCCGATAAGGTTGCAACAAGGATAAATCACGGCAGAAGTGCACACTCAGAAGATCTCAGAGGAAGAGAGAGAAACTTCTGCCACCCCCCCGCCTCGCTCTGCCATTACTCATCCTTGTTTGTAAAGTGGCCAGGATAGTTTTGGCATTAAACAAACATTGTGTGATTGCCCAAGTATTCCATCATTGTCCTAAGTGCCCACAGAGAGTTGCGGGAAGAAGGCACTTGTTTTTCCTGCCTGCTTCTGTTTTCAGGCCACCAAGGACAGAGCTGGAAAGGAGGTTGGGGAATGGAGCTGCTGCCCAGGGTCCCGCTCTGAGCACCCTGCAGCCCCCCAGCCTCTCCTCCCCAAGTTGGGATGTTCAGAGGCAGCCATGCAGGACCCACTGAGGGGTGGGGAAGGGGCTTCAGCTCCCCCAAAACCTCAGCCCTGTGGCCTTGACTGCAGTGGCTGCATTTTCACCCAGCCAGCAGCGTGGCAGGGCGTGCGATGGGAGATGGACGAGCCCGTCCTGGATGTTTTTCAAGTGGAGATTAACCACTGAGTAGGTTCTTTTTATTTAAGACGCCATATGTCTCTTCCCTCTAAATATCTCTTCCATCAGATACCGCTGTGATTCCCACTCTGCCTCCCAACCCTGCCTTTGAGACTCTATTGCAAACACTTCATAAAACCGTGTTAGATTGGAGATGGGAAATGCTTTGAAGCTCCTTCTCTCTGCTCCCCGTGGACGTCGGCCCGGACGCCTGCGCAGCCGCTCCGTCCTCACCGCAGTGTCCGGAGGCGTGAGGGGCTGGGGAGGGGGACACTGCCCCCGGGTCCAGGGCACGGTGCCCGTTTGACTCCCGTGACTCATCGGATTACGCTGCAAATTCCCTTCTCCGCCTGTGACATGGGGATAGCAACGTTATCCTCTTCCCCTGCTGTGAGCTTCAATATATCAGGGATTGTGAGGCACTTAGTGCTATGTAAATGGGAGACGTATCAGCTGTGCCTCAGATAAATGAATTTCACTTAGATTGATGGGTGTGAAGCACTTCCAAAATTAGGCCTATTCTTCTTAAATCAAACAGTTTCCCCAAGCCAGTTCAGCTCCATTGATGTAGAGGAAGTCATCAAGCTGCGATTCATCACCAAGCTCAATCACAGACCTTCAACACGCTGACCCACCACGAGCTTCCTCCTCTTGGCAGAGGGAGAGGAGCTTGGCCAGGCACAGGAGGAGCAGGACCCTTCCCTGGGCACAGGGCATCCACGGCTTGGGCTGCAAACCCGTGTGCTTGTTCTGATGCTTGCACCAAACTGTCTTCATGCCACTAAATGCTCTGTAACATACAGATAGATCACAAACCTCATTTCATTCAGCTAGTAAGGAGTAAATCCCTCTCATGCGTGGGAGCATCCCCACCAAACTGCAGCTCGCTGAGTAATGCTGTAGTAAACCCCAGCAAGGTGTTTGCAGCAGCTTCTCCTGCGTGCCAGGGGTGCCACCCATCCCAACCTCAGCGAATGCCAGAGGGGAGCGGGTCCACAGGCAGCCCTCCCCTCACTGGGGCTGGCAGTTCTCCCTCAGCCAAAGCCAAGCACCTCCTGCCTGCGAGGATCTGCCTGGTGTTTATGTGTGGAGCAGCCCAGCTCCCTCCAACTTTTTAACTGCAGATAATCAACAAAGCCGGGCAAATAATTTAGCACGTATAATTTATTCTATGAATTTTGATTCTTTGCCCACAAGCTGCTTGTGCTGCTCACCAAGGTATTGGTGCTCTGAAATTATGCAGGGGAGCTGCGGCCTCGGCCTGGGGCTGGCTCAGCCGGCTGGCAGCGGGCACAGCACCCCGAGCACGGCAGTGCTGGCCAGGGGCTTGCCCTCCATCGGGTGGCATTTCTCCTGCTGATGGCCTGGGAGGAACCCGACTTCAGAGGGCAGCTCCAGCAGGCAGGGTGCTGTTAGCAGGGACTGTACCCATGTGCCAAGGACAGCTGTTCCCAGTCCCCAGCACGGGATCAGGCATCCGAAGGGAAGGTACAACAACCCGTTAGCTGAGTAATTGTGGAAACGTGGCTGCATCGTCCATATGTTTGTACCAAACTGCCCCATACTGTCCTTAAACGAGACTAAATATCCCTGGGAGCAGCAGTAAGCACAGCTGTGCTGTTTTTCCCCATTGGCAGGGGAAGGAGATGCTGCTGCTGCTGCTGCCGCCTCACACGCATCCGCCGTGCCGGTTCCAAGCTGGCCCGAAACTGGGATGTGGGAGCTGTGAGGTACAT